AAGCACATCGTTCATATCAGTACACAGGGGCAGCACTTCGTTCATATCAGTACACACACGGGCAGCACATTGTTCATATCAGTACGCCGAGTGTCAACATCCACCATATCTGTACGCACAGTGCTAGAGGAAGTCTAGTCGATACTGATTGGTTGGATGTAATAAAAGGCACAATTGATGCTGGATTACACATTGTTTCCTTTTCAAATAATCTGGATTAACACCTTCACCCTTGAAATTTTTTTTTATCAGTCAAAAAGGGAAAGCTATCAATTGTTAAACTATGTCTTCTTCTTTTACCAAATAAAGCAACTTCTTGAATAATTAATGGCAGTACGTAATGCATAGAAATGTGTATAGTCAGTGAATTCCCAGATCTTAAAATAATGAGCAATAAAAGAAAAAATGTTTGTTTATAATTGTTTATTTATAATTGCAGGAACAGAATGTTTTGTGGGGTAAAGCTAAACATGATGAAATCAGACATCTGTATACAATGCTGACACCAAAAGAAGGTGAGTGTTAAGTAATCCATTGTCACATGTCTCACTCCAACATACCTTATATACTGTGTAGTGATTGTGACTCAAATCTTACCTGGGGTTTAACACCAAAATCGCTGCACCACAGACTTGATTGAGAGGCCAATGTCACTGTACTCTGGATGAGTGGTGTGCTACAGACTCAATGAGAAGTCCAAAGCTACTGTATCCTGGGTGAGTATGCCACAGTAGGGAGACCAAAGCCACTATACTCTGGGTGAGTGTGCCACAGTAGGGAGACCAAAGCCACTATACCCTGGGTGAGTGTGCCACAGACTCAATGGGGGAGGCCAAAGCCACTGTACCCTGGGTGAGTGTGCCACAGTAGGGAGACCAAAGCCACTATACTCCAGATAAGTGATACCGCAGGGTCAATTGGGAGACCACAACTACAGTGCTGTGGATAAGTGTGCTATCATCACATAGCTGTCACTGGTCATGTAGTCTTGAACATGGAATATAATTTCTGTGGCTAAATGCAGTACTGTATTATTATTTGCTTAATTAGTAGTGAATATGCTTTCATAAATGACAGTCTATGGTCAAAATAAATGTATTGTAATAAACCAGCATACACCTAGTACAGTATTTGATTTTTAGTGCTCTTCTATTGAGAAGTGCTTCTACGGGATTCGGCTGATACCCCGCCCTGGGCGATCTTATGGAGGATTCGAATTTTTTTTAGAAAAATGTGGACCAAAAGATCGCCCGAGCGATGTTATGGCAGATATTACGAAGCCCATCTTGTCAGGAAAAATAACCCTGCGTTGATAAAAATGGGCTCAGAAAATGTTTAGTGAAAATAATGTTTTGCGTTGACCAAATATATTCATGCAAAGTATAAATTCAAAGTGCCTTAATACATTGGTGATAGGTCGCATTTTACGTGAACAAGAACATGCACTGAAAAGGAAAAGCAGGCAGAAGTTGAAACAGGGTGCATCATGGACATGACACAACACATGCTGCGATGAGTGATCAGCGACATCCTTTTGGGACGCAATTGAACTTCAAGTACTTCTGTGCGAAACTAGCTGCGCGGCGATGCTGAGAGACCGAAGTTTGACCCCAAGTCACGCACTAAACTGGCGCGTTACCTTTTTCTTTTGTGCTCCATGCGTCGATCTAGTAAAATATTTATTATATCCGACGGTACTGTAATTACGCAACTTGTATGCAACTCTGTACTGGCTTTGAATATATCAACGTTGTTTTCTTAGTGTACTGCTTTTCTAATTACACAAATTTGTTTACAATATTGTACCGGCTCTGAATATTTCAACTTTGTAACGTATTGCTTTCATGATAATTACGCAAACTCAAGTTATTTTTTTACTATTGTTAGGATGCTGACCCAAGGTATTGGGTCTGTGAACATTTCAATATTACCGACTTGATAATGCGTTGCATTCGTAATAATTCCGCAAACATAAACATGGGCGCATTTAAATCATTAAAAAGGATAGTAGTCAGGTATCTACGGAAAGTCAAGAAAATATTTTAAATACTTGTGATTCATCGATGTTCCAATGGTGAATTATTTTATTCGAAATGAAGTGAACATGTAATATAAACCATACCATGCGTCAAGTTAAATTTTACTATAATATAATAAACTCTGGCAGTGCAATTCGATCGCATTATTCACATACATTTCGACTGAACTCTAATAACCACAAGTTTGTGCGGCATTGGGCTATGACCTCCAGAGTTCACGCACTGCTGTAGTTACTTGTCATTTGTTCAAAAAATCTTTCAACTCTCACAAATATCATGAACGCGAAGAGTTTAACTGGGGGTTAACTGAAAAGGAACGTTTTTTTTGGACAAAAAACATGTCAATACAAGATTATGTGTGCAAGTTCAGATTTATAGAACGTACATGACCGCTTTGTGTTTTTTAATAATCATGTCGCATGTGAAACGCAGGAGACATTTTAGTTCGCCCATTTCTTGTTTACCGATCTTGAACTTTTTGTCTGGTATGCGATACAGACAAAGATTAAACATTAATGATACTTACCGTTGTTAAATCAACTGAGAGGCTCGAATCAGGAAGGCTTGGCAGGGTTTAGGATGGGCGGGGTATCAGCCGAATCCGGTAATAGTAGAGTAAAATATTTAGTATTGTCATAACTTGAAAGGCATGGGAGAGAATCCTGATAGAAAAATATCTAAAATAACGACTTTGATATCACCAAGATGCTGACTATCTTTGTTATATTGCATACAGGTGAGCCTTGGGAATGGATCACTGTTGATTGGTTAAGGAAATGGCTATCAGATGAAAATACGTCCTGCCCTCCTGTTGACAACCAGAAACTTCTATGTAAACATGGTAATATGGACCCTGACAAAGTCAATGATGCTAAACATATCAGTAAACAAGCAGTAAGTATGACCAAACCTCAGTCAATTAAAAATTGAAAATCCAAATTCAATCTTTATTATTTATTTAAAATTTTGTTCTCTAATTATCTTTGCCAAACAACACAAGTTATAAAACTGTTTTCGCCCTCAAAATGTAAAAATCTAAATCTGTGCTGTGTGTGGAAAAACATTAATAACTATTCTTCCCAATTGCTTAGTTTTTTTCTTTCAAAAACAAAAAAGGTTTCATGTCAGTTTTGGTAGTTTATCTAGACCTTATATTGATTTCATGTCAGTTTTGGTAGTTTATCTAGACCATATATTGATTTCATGTCAGTTTTGGTAGTTTATCTAGACCTTATATTGATTTCATGTCAGTTTTGGTAGTTTATCTAGACCATATATTGATTTCATGTCAGTTTTGGTAGTTTATCTAGACCATATATTGATTTCATGGCAACCAAGTTTCATACCTTGTTTTATGTATAGAAGTAATCACAAAAACAAAAAGGTTTCATGTCAGTTTTGGTAGTTTATCTAGACCATATATTGATTTCATGGCAACCAAGTTTCATACCTTGTTTTATGTATAGAAGTAATCAAAAAAACAAGGGGATACTAGTTTGATTCATGTCTATCCATCGATCTAATAAAACCATGGTGTGGATTTACTTTTTGAAAGATGACACAACATTGTTTGATGGATAACTGTTAATGTTCTCATTTATTCATTGCAGGCTGATCTTATTTTCACGAAGTACCATGGTGCCCCAAGAATACTCCAAAGGCAGTTTTGTAAACAGTGTGTTGTAGATAGATGTAAATTATTGAGGATTAGATTACGAATCACAGAAGATCATAAAATACTCAGTAATCTTACTAAACACAAGGTTGAAAGGTAATTTGCATCCAAAGGTTGTAACTCACACATATAAGAACGCTATATGTTAACTTACATAGAAGAACAACAGTTATAACAGCAGTTATCATCTCTACAT